CTTTGCGCGAAATCCGTAACAAACAAACAAACTTATACAAGACAGCCGCCATCTTCGAGTCTGCTGAAAGTGACGTCAAGATTGCGTCATAAATGCAAATATAACGTCATCCAAAATAGCCATTCCCACCGAAGACCACAATTTCTGAGCCAACTGGAAGTGTAAATGAATATAGTCTCCTGCCTATACTACTTATACAACGTTTTTATTTGTCAACAAGTATGGTTAGTTGACCACTTGAAAGACTAGTATTATAACACTTTGTTCTGACATTAAAACTACAAAACAAAGAGCGTTCAGACTGTTGACTCTAAGCTGTGTTACAAACAAGCCCGTATTTAGGTCTGTAAATGGGGGTTCTTTCAGGCTGTTGACTAGTACTGACTTTAAGCTGTATTACAAACAAGCCCGTATTTAGGTCTGCAAGTGGGTGGTTCTTTCAGACTGTTGACTAGTACTGACTCTAAGCTGTATTACAAACAAGCCCGTATTTAGGTCAGCAAGTGGGGGTTCTTTCAGACTCTTGACTAGTATTGACTCTAAGCTGTATTACAAACAAGCCCGTATTTAGGTCTGCAAGTGGGGGTTCTTTCAGACTCTTGACTAGTATTGACTCTAAGCTGTATTACAAACAAGCCCGTATTTAGGTCAGCAAGTGGGGGTTCTTTCAGACTGTTGACTAGTATTGACTCTAAGCTGTATTACAAACAAGTCCGTATTTAGGTCTGCAAGTGGGGGTTCTTTTTTGGTCCGCTCCCTAGTGGCACAGCGAAATGTCTGCGGACTTATACCGTTAGAAACCGGGTTTCGATACCCGTGGTGGGCAAAGCACAGACAGCCTATTGTGTAGCTTTGTGCTAAACTGCAAACAAACTTTTGGGTCCAAAGTGGAACTCGTTTCATGTACAAAAACAAAAACAAGTACAAAAACAAATCCGAAATATTTAATGGTTCTTTTATTAATAATAAATTAATAATAATAATTAATAATAATAATTAATAATAATAATAATTACTTGTAAATAAACATTTCTAGTCAATTTCCCCTGATATGTATGAAAATACTGTTTCCTCGTGGTATAGTGTTACAAAAGCAATTATATAATGAGAGGCCATCATCAAAGAAATGAAAAAAAATTAAATGTTAATAGGCGAGCGGAACTCCGGCCGGAGT